TCACCTACAAAGATAACAAAAACATGTCCATAATAGCATCAGCGCAGAGAGCACAATTACTCACTAAAGATTACTTTTCTTCTTAGAAAACTGTAGATTAGTTATACACATACACCAAAGGAATCCTCCTTCACTGCATTTTTCTTCACAGATTCCTTATGGAATTGAACCATTTCCAGGACGCATGACAATTAAAAGCACAGTTCCACAAGTCGGCATTCAAAAACTAGAATGCAGTTCAGTTTACGCAGATGAACGCTATTCAGTTCCTTGTGGGATTATTTTTGGTTTAAATCTCTACGGTGAGACAAAGAATACTTTTGAAAAGTATACAAATCTCAATAGGGTCTAAGTTTACCTCATTCGTATTTCATTATCAAAAATAGTTAGTGAAAGATAAGGCGTTTATTATGATTAGAAGATAACCCATGGTTAGAGAAGAATTAAAGTGCATGCTGAAGGGCATGCTGTGGTAAGCAGCTTACTCTTTTCCCGGATCTTTGTCCTTGCATTCACAGACCCTGTCTCTCCTGGGTGGTCAACATCTCCTGGACTGCTGCTCTGCCGAACCAAAATCTTAGGTGCACGTAAGAGGAACACAATATTATTTCAAAAGACTTCATACAAAATGATCTACAGAGGTCTAATAATCATTAAAAAGAGATGTGTACAACAGTACTGACCGTGGGTGTTTCCCTCTTGCCTACTGAGCTGCTGTCACAGACCCAGGATCTGCTATCAGAGTAGCTTGCATTTGGAGAATCCTCTCTGTTTTGACCTACAATTTCAACAAACAGAATAAAATGACATAGGGGCTATAATACAAGGCAGAAAAGCAGGCAAGATCTCCAAAGAGATGGGTGTGTGTGCGTGTGTATATACCTGGGAAGGAGTCTGTGAGTTGTTGGGTAATATCTGAGGTGCTGCTGCTGCGAGGGAGGGGATTGTCTTCCTCTCCCAACTCTCCTTCTCCTCCACATTCAGACAACTGACATTCTTCAACATCTGAGGAAACAAGGTCATACAAAAGGTTCCCACATGTGGAGTAATAAAGACTCACACAAAATAAATTATTACGAATTTGTTGATATCTTGGGAGACGAAACGAAGGATTAGACATGTACTGGTCTGATACTGAGCATCACTATCAAGACAGTACTGGTCCGAAATGCTGAATTCTGTGCATTAATGTATTAAACAGGTGTGCTATTGAATGGCAAGATATCAGAATAAAACATAGGACACACTGGTTGTGAAAACGGTGGCATCCCATTTCTGATGTTTTGCATAACTTAGGATTTTTTCCCCCAGACTATAAGTGTGTAATCGAGCCCTGAGAACCGATCCCCGCTGCTCTTCAAAACAGTGGTCTGCTGAGCTCCCGAGTGGAGCAACAGAAAAAGTGCTCGCCCTATCAGCCAGATATCGCGAGTTCGAATCCTGCTAATGCAACAGCCGTCCGAGGATGTGAGTCCTAGAGAGTCATGGCTTGCTCTCAAGGAGAGAGGAACATACTCTCACTCCCCTCCCTCGCTCTATCCTCAACACTAGTCAGTACTGGGTATCTGTGAGCTCATGTATGCAGAAGTGTGTTAGGCTGCCCCCCCCCCCCCGGTGTTTTAAAAAGGCCCCCCCCCAAAAAAGGCCCCGACCCCCCCCCCCCCCCCCTGGTTGGTAGTTGTTTGTGAAATTGTGGTGGGGGGGAAAAAAAAAAAAAAAAAAAAAAAAAAAAAAAGAAAAAATTTTTCCCCAAACAAAATAAAAAAAAAAAAAAAAAACAAAAAACCCAAGGGAGGGGAAGAAATAAATAAAAAAACCACCAAAAACAACAAAAATAATCAAAATATTTATTTTTCTTAACCCCCCAGATTAGACATCGGTAATGCATCAACAAACACAATGAAAATCTGTTCTAAGAAGTAAAAAATATAATGATAGAATAATTCGATCACATGTTATGTATAAGTCACTAAATAATTTTTATTAAGTAACGCTATAAAAAATGCCAAAAAATTACCATAATCTGCTATATATTTTTTTTAGAACAGTATAGATCAGGGTGAGTGCAGTTGATCAAACTTCACTAGATGTGAAAGAAAGTGAATGAGAAAGAAAGCGAAAGTACTGGAAGGACAAATAGACCAAGACAGCACAGTTACCTGAGAGTCTGTGAGAGCAATGAGAGTTGTGAGAGATACCAGGCAAGAAAGAGCTGACAGTGTGCAGCAGCATTGGCACACTCTTGGTGGCCGGCAAAGCTTCATACAGATGCACACAGTTGCTGATAGACTGGCTTCGCTTAGCTACCAAAGGAATGAGCACAGAAATAGAAAGACAGAAACAGAGAAAGAGGGAAAAAAAAGAAAGCAAAGTCAACCATGTCCTACAGTGGGGGGAAATGCGCATGCTGAGAGCTTTTCACTGGAAGTGCTGAAAGGACAGAAATACAATATCACTGTTTGGAATAAGAAATGAACTAAAACAATACATACAATTATATAATTTAACGTTTACTTAGTGGATTTCACTGCAGATAACCATTAACATGATACAGGGCCTTTAATTTACAGGAAATAAGAGTATTTCAAGTGAGATTCATATAACAGATGCATAGAAACATACAGTAAAAGCAATGATTAAAGACATAAAACAAATCTGTTCTGTTTAAATATGTTTAGACATATTGGTCCTTTCTGTGATCTTAATCCTTATGCCAAAACCAATGCTTTTCCCTACTTTATATTCTCTCCTCAATTGATCTAACAGCTGATTACAAGTCATATTTATTATTTTCTTCCTGGACTTGTGAGGTGAAATAAATTAAAAGGTGTGAATGATAAAGGTAATGCTTTCACATATGTTTCAACTGTATATTTACTAAAGCAAGTGTGGGCCAATAAGACAGCAATGCAAAGTAAGGATAAAATGCGAAGTCGGGACAATTCGTTGAGTCTGATGGCACATATTTTACACATTTGTGGTCTTTTCATGGACAATAGCCTGAATTTATAAAAGTGACTAATTAATCTGGTGACTTTACAGATCTAACACTATGAATCAGAGAGCAAGAAAAACACCAAAATGTGCTACACACTGGATGTCCAGGCCTGGAGCTGGAACCCAGATTTATGACTTATCATTTGTTATCATTTGAAACTCCTGGTTTAAGCAGGATATGTGAGGAATATAGTTCAAATTAAATTAGCTTATGTGTGTGTGTTTTCAGACACCAATTTGTCATATCTAATGGAAAAACGACTCTTCCTTTCTCTAGTGTACTTTAATCATCAGCTTTGCTTCCAGCTAACATCACTTTCAATGTATTACCTATTTATGCATATTAATGAGAATTAATTTCATTCTTAATGAAACTATCAAAAACAGCCCACCAACTGATGTGACGGATCTGTTAATGAAGGAGGCAGAATGCCGGCTTGTTTGAAGATAAATATGGAACGAATCCAATTAGGCAAAAGGAAATGAGACATTTGGAGTCATGCTCTTTCATGTGGCTCCTTCACACACGTTTGCTAGCACACATATCTATGCACGGCTCAAGAGAGGCTCAAATGCATCTGCTCCAAACTCAAGCAGCTCTCCACATAAAGAGATACAATCTCCTCCTACGCAGTACAGGCAAAAAAAAGCCAGTGCTAAAGTAGTGAGTGAGAGTGTGTGTGTGTTTGTGGGCGGGGAGTCAGAGTGGTGTTCTGACCTGATGCTTTCTGTCGGACGTTATTGCGAGCCTTCTCCACAGCAGGCGCTCCGGTGGTGGTGGCACTGCGGATGCGCATGGGCTCCTGAGCGCCAGGTTGCTCTCCTGCATTCCTCCAGCTCAGAGAGAATGACCTCGATACCACTGATGATTTCTGAGAATCCTGCATCACTCCTACACAAGCACACATTCACACAGGCACACAATTTACATAGCACTTTTATGCAAAAAATAGCATGAAAGCATTTTTGTACAAGACGTCAGTCAAACATTTTTTTGTAAATTAAATATTAAATCGCTATCATTTGTACTTTCAGAGATAGCACTCTTGCAGAGGAAACCATTTGTGTTTATTCCTGACATTGACATGTGAACGAGGAAGCCTAATGGTACATGATAAGCATAAAACCTCTGGGAAAGCGCATGTCAAATTTTACTTAATTATTATTATTATTATTATTTACAGTATTGCTTTAACATTGGAAAGTTAGATCAAACTATATAACAGCTGTTTTTCTCATCTATGTTTCCTGCTAAGCCTGTTTTTATTAAACAGGTTTTCTGTTCTTTTCTCTGTGGTAGTTGCACATAGACCACAACTGTTAAGTAGCAATCAAGGGTGATCTCTACCTCAAAAAACATGAAAAACCTGAGAGTGGTGTCTGTACACCCATTGGCTACTTTAATAGAGTACCTCTGCCCATTCAAGCAATTATCTAAATCAGCCATTCAAGTGGCAGCAGCACAATGCATAAAATCATGCACACACAGGTCAAGAGTAGGAAAGTCACGAATAATCGATTATAACCGACTCAAATATTTAAAAAATAAATAAAATAAAATCCTTTATGAAAATATCCCATAATCATCCATCCATCTTCCGTACTGTTTATTCTACACAGGGGGAGCCTGAACTCGGGGCACAAGGAGGGGGATACCCTGGACAAGGTGTCAACTCATCGCCGGGACACATTCGGTACACACTACGGTAAATGGTCTGCACTTATATAGTGCTTTTATCGAAAGCACTTAACGCACACACACCAATGTTAGCAGAGCTGCCATGCAGGGAGCAACTTTTCAGGGACATTTCGGTATGTGGAGTCACATGGGAATCAAACCGCCACAACCTGACAATCGTGGACAACCCGTTTTACCACCTGAGCCACAGCCGCCCTTCACAACCCGGGAATGCCAATAAGCCTACAACGCATATCTCTGGACTGGGGGAGGAAACTGGAGGAAACTCCGAAGCAAAGGGAAACATACACACAAACTCCACACAGGGCGGAGGCAGGATTTTAACCCCCAACCATGGAGGTGCAAGGCAAACGCGCTAACCACTAAGCCACCGTGCCCCCAATTGTCATAAATGGATTGTCACAATTGTCACAAACTGCAAGGATTCAGCTTCATGTCGGAAAGCAACTCGTAAGAATCTAGATCCAAGCAAGAAAAGGAGCAGTAAATTAGTGAAGAGAACTATACTTTTAAGCCATTTCGGCATGTTTAATGTTCACGTGTGTTTAATACTCCTGCATGCAGGTGTGTAGAGGATGGAAGATAATGGAGAGTGAATAACACAAAATGGAAACATGAACGGTTTTGATTAAATTATCATTTAAGCGCCGTGAACAAAACCACACACACACACACCTCGGCCCCGCTGTTTCTTTTCTTTTTGCTCAGAGAGCTTGTCCAGTGGAAGGTTGTTGAGGTCCAGGCCATAGACGCAGCGGGCCAGCACGATGGTCAGGGAGTCCATGATGCTGGCCCACTCGATCACCAGCTCCTCCCAGTGGCTGAGAGAAGACAACACTGCCAGCAGGTCGTCCCACAGCTCACGAGAGATGAACACGCAGAGATTGGCCCGCACCCACGCCACAATGATGGTCTAAAGCCAAACAGGCATGTTACAGGTCAGAGCACAGCAAAATAAGAAACTGTATGACCAAGAGTGCAGACATCCAGTTTAAAATGTCCTGTAATTAGTAAAATACAGTCTGTAGCAGTGTGAGGGAAACCTGACTCACTCTGAAGAGGACACTAGCCAGGCTCTGGGCGAAAATATCTTTCCTTTGTTCATCCTGTGACCTCTTCATGACTGCCTCAGTGATTCTCAGCAGTACCTGCAGCATCTGTTCCCTAAAAAGCACATTCAGAATGTCAGCATGTGAATACGCATTAAAATACGATGCTTTCCACCTCTCCAGAGTTCAGGAGCACAAAATGTACATAATGATAATGTAACAACTGTAACTATACTAGTGCTATCATGGTTTTGGCATAAACATTGTGACAAATGGCCAAGACATTGTGTTATTTCTTCCCTGCCCAACTGCGACAAATAATCTCACACAATTACTAATTATTAACCATGACAAATGCTATGTTTGTTTTGTATAATTTATATATCAATTATATATAGCTGTGTTGCAGAGATAAACATTTGTGTGTGTGTGTGTGTGTGTGTGTGTGTGTGTGTAATAGATGAAGCTGTACCAGGTTTGTCGGTTCATATTGTGCTCCATAATCATGTGGCGGTAGATACTGAGGACGGCCCTGCACACCTCCACTTGGTTCTCAAGAAGTTTGGGCACATCATGACAAGGCTCCAACAGGAACACGTTAGAAGAGTTTGTCAGAAAGACCTGTAAACAACTATAAAGATTAGATACTGGTAACAGATAATGGTCACCATTCATTATAGATATAGTAATGGCAAAACCACTGCAAAACATTTTGCTTTAAGACCAAATACATTCATTAAGAATATATTCTTTAAGAATATCACACATACAGTCATGTGAAAAAAATAAGTACACCCCATGGAAACTTTTGGCATTTTTGACATATTTGGACAAGCAAACATTTAATCATATTTGAAACAGTGCCTATTAACAACATAAACAAGGAAAATGAGCTTTTTCAATCATTTATTCAACAGAAATATCAATAGATCTTCTGTGGAAAAAGCAAGTACACCCTTGGCCTCAGAAGTTTGTATTGCCCACCTTTAGCAGAAACAACTTCTTGTAGACTTTTTGCATAATTGTCCACCAGTCTTTGACATCAGCTTGCAGGAATTTTTTACCACTCTTCCACGCAATATTCTTTCAGTTGCAAGATGTCTGAGGGTTTTCATGTACTGCCTGTTTCAAATCCCACCACAAAGTGATTTTTCTTCTGGGCTTTGACTAGGCCATTCCATGAGCACCCAGTTCTTTTTTCTGAGCCATTCCCTGATGGATTTGAAAGTGTGCTTAAGATCAGTATCCTGTTGAAAGGTCCACTTTCGGTTTAACGTCAGCTGTCGGACAGATGGCCTCACATTATCTTCGAGCACTCTTTGATATGATGCAAAATTCATAGTTGAATCAATGAATGCAAGCTGTCCAATCCCTGAGGCAATGAAGCAACCCCAAACCATAACATTTCCACCACTGTGGTTCACAGTTGGTATGAGGTGCTTCACCTGAAAAGCTCTCTTTGGTCTGCGCCAAACATGTCTGCTGTTACTGCAGCCAAACAACTCTATCTTTGATTCGTCTGTGCAGAGCACATAATTCCATTACCCTCATTGGAAAACTGTAGTCTAAGGTTCTTTTTAGACAGCAAAAGATTTTTCCTGGCATGCCTCCCATGCAGGTTAAATAAAAATAAAGTGGAGTGATGTATTTAAAATAATTTGGAGATCTTTTTAAATCCCTTGCCAGACTTATAGGCATCCACAACCTTTTTTCCTGAAGGCCTTAGGAAACACTTTAGATCCTGGCATGATTACAACAAACACCTTAGTAGCAAAGGGAACACGACACTACATATGAGAGGGGTTTTTGTGTGTGTGTGTGTGTGTGTGTGTGTATATAAAATATAAATACACAGGTTCCACCTGCACTCTCTAAGCAGGTTCTAATCACTGGCACCCAAACTTGAACATCTGGTACTAATTTTATGGATTTGAAGGCATGAAACATGTAGGGGTGTATTTACTTTATGCAAGTGACTGATGTGGCTTTTCATTAATTTAAATTGTGAAAATGACTAAAATGTAAATTTTAAATGTTATTTGATAGAGTGCATCAACTCTTAATAGAGTTTATTATATATATATATATATATATATATATATATATATATATATATATATATATATATATATATATATATATATATATATATATATATATACACACACACACACACACACACACACATATCTACCTCTCAATCATGGGGTGTACTTATTTTTTTTACATGACTGCATGTGTGCATAGGTGTGAATAAGTCATGTACAAAAGAGAATAAATCTCCTTCTACCCAGATGACTATGTGGAGGTATAATCTATTTCTTTAGGTATATGGTGTGTGCATGTGTGGACCTGTAGGGTAGGCTGAATGCCAGCTTTCACATCATGGTTCTGTTCCTCAGTCAGACAGCCTCGGCTGATGGCACTGCTGAAGGAGTACGTTCGCCCCCAGCTGGATGACCTCTTGTGCCCAAGGATCTCCTAAAAACAGATATACAACAGCTTCCCTTATGTACGGCTAAACATACAGACTGAACCTACCCACATTTATTCCCTTAGCAGCAAATCATGCTTTTCATTTCTTTTATGGCAAACACAACCTTACTATTCATCTTAACAGTTGACATATCTTCATCTCAATTAGAAACAATATTTACATTGACGACTGGAATATTGAATGGGAGGAGGAAAAATTCTACTTAATAACTAATAACTTTTCACTATTATGAAATCACTATAGTTGAGGCTTATAGCACAGGATCACACATAGGAAAGCACACCCCCCACCCCCAATGTTTTAATCTTGTAATCTCTTCTGTCTTTTGTCTCTTTGTGTAATTTTTATATTTGGACAATGCTTGGTTAGTCTATTTAGGTCTAGTTTCTCCTCCAAAAGGATTTTGAAAAGTTTGTGATCAAGACAGTAATCCCCTTCCTTCATGTTTATTATTCCCCTTATCGTTATGTGACCGTGTTATTGATGTGACAGTAAAGTAGGCTCAAATAAATTACCCCAAATGCACACAAAATCTAGGAGGGTTTCATCAAGTGAAATCACTTGATGACGGTCAGTGATGATGTCAATGATAATGCTAGAAAGAAAACAGACCCAGCCATCACTCCATATCAATCTGTATGTGTGTTTTTTTTTTCTAAACTTATAACTGCTGGTGGTGCAGCTGTTCTTGGTTCCATAATTTTTTTTTATAATCCCCTTTAAGCTATTTAACAACAAATAAAACAAAAATGGCAACATTTTAGCCAGGCCCTAGCCCTGCTAGCATATGTATACCAGCCGGTCCCACTGAATCTCCTTCTTTTCAAATTTAAAATTCAGAGCTCATTTTGTATTATTCCACTTCATAAAAAAATTAAATGAATTACTGTGACAAAAAACCTCACCAAAAAGTTTCCCAAGTTTAAGTCTAAGTCTATCATTGTGTTTGGTATCAAGAAATTGTTTATTTTAAGGTAGGAATTCCCATTCTCCCAGTATGATGTTCAATGTATCAGTAATCAGATGATAGGATGAACCAGGTATACACCACCATGAAACTATCTTTGTTTTACAAACATTTACATGCCAAGGTGTGTGTAAATGTGTACAGCACCTCTGAGTGGTGTGTACTGTCAATCTCAACGGGTTGCTGTGCCTCCTCTGTCTCCTCATCATGAGTGGTCTTTTCAGGCTCGGTCATGAAGGTGGGCCTTTCCTGCAGAATCCATTTCCTGTACACTTTTATAACTTTACGGGTTGCCGATGCCTCACAGGATGGCAACAGGAAGGCCTGAGAGGTAAAACAGTATTAGGATTAAATAGCTAAAAATAACTAAATGTTTAACATATTAACATCACAAAACAAAGTCGGTTAACAGCAGTTTAAGGCGGTTTTAATTCACTTGCAAAACAGCAAAATATGGGCACAAAGGGAAAGTTGCATTTTAGACTAACATCATCAAAACAGATACTGTTTGCTTTAGAGATGCACCGATGTATCGGCCGATAAAGGTCATTTTTCACGCTATGTTTGGAAACATCCGATAATAAAGACCGATTATATCCTGTCAATCAAAAGAGGGTGGGGAAAACACAGATTTTGTGCTGTGTGTAAGGATGATGTCTCTGTGTGGAATTACGACAAAACTGCAGTTTGAAATAGTTTTTTTTTTGGCCACGCTGCTCGAGCTGAATTAAAGCGCCAGTACACTGTTGAAAAATTTAAATGAAGATGAGTCAACAAAAGTATATACACTGCACAGAAAAATATATTTGCAGAGTAGGTATATTTCATATCCAGTTAATTTTAATATATATTAAAAAAAAGTTG